AATCAGTGAATTCCCTACCTTTTCCATATCTAATGATTTCGTGTTGAGTTAGTTTGAATTGTCCTTAAAAACTTGAGATATCTTCTTAAAGTAATTCAGTTTTCTGTTTCCCATCATTAGGATCCCATTGTTAATTTTGAATTACCACTGCATTTGGAGAAGTGGTTTCCTCGTCAGGTGATAAGGGCCAAGCGGGATGATATTCGGGAGCTGATCTTGAAACTTCATTTACAGCAACAGAAGGGCAACAGTAGTTAATTCATCATTGATGGACATGGAACTGGTATTTTAAAAGATCACTGGAAAGCTGTTTACCAGCAATTGTTCTATCCTGTCTGCAAAAAAGAAAACCTTGTAGTTATTTTGTAAATTGTTCAAAATTATTTAAATTGTATAAGATAATTATTGATTTTGTTTGGGTCTGATAGGTGGGGATAAAAGGGTGGGAATGGGGAGAATGTAGATAAACTTGTTAGACTAAAGTTAAAATTTGATAAATATTTCATATTTTTTTCAGTGAATATGCTTGGACTATGCAGTAAACATGTGATGTGAGAATATTTTAGTAAGTGATTAAAAAACAAACCACTCTATGGTTTTAACCTGCACAAGACTCTGGGTACAGGACCACTTACTCCTCTGGTACTAAACCCATGCTTGGCAAGTCACTTCACATTGTAGCTGTTCTTTGCAACTCAAGCATGCCATATGAATACTGTGTATTTTAAAATAATTATTGCTGAATGCCATTTATGGCAGTACATCTGTATAATATAAAATAGCAAGCTCTTAATGTGAGGTGGTTAAAAACCTACTCAACCATCATGTACTTTGTCAATCTTTCTAGTTAGGTGATAATTCCACCCTGCTTTAGTTGCGATGATTCTTTTCCCTCCAATTCCATTGACATTATTTAAGGGGATTGGGAAATTGCAGTCATTTATTTTGGGTGAAATTGGGAAGAAACTTAAGAATTATAGTTCTTTTTAAATGTGAATTCATTTTCCTTTCTAAAATTGGAAAAGTAGTCTGTCTTTTAAGAAATAACATTTAAAAACAAATCTGAATACTTTTTTACATTGTATTAATTGAGATCTTTGTAAAATAAGATAGAGGTATTTACTCATGTACTATATGAGTATACACACCCCATTACTGAAACAGATAACTCATTTTTTTGAAGATAAAATTGGTATCATTTGCTTTCTGTATGCTTATAATTTTAACAAGCTAAGTATACACATTTGTCCAGACTTATTAACTTGTTAGAACTCAGTATGCATTTTAAAAATCTATCTACCCACTTTTTTACCAGTAAAACAAAAATTGCTTTCATCCTTTTAATATCATATTTTTTTCCCAGAGGCTTTCCTAAGAGAGCTTAATTCTTCAGTACATATTCAGGCAAAATTTTACTGAATTTTTGTGATCCTGGTGGGATTATATCTGATTAGACTTCATGACTATCTGTTAAATATAATTCACTCTGATTTTATCAGAAATATTCTGAAGAAGACAGATAATTGTATTCCATTTTCTCAGATAAAAACTTTTGTAAGAAAATCATTTTAATCTTCCAACTCAGATTTCTCTTGGATTTTTATCATAATTGTATGCAAAGAAGGAAAACCGAGGCCATTAGAGGTGAAGCTAAAAGGCCAAACAGTTTATTCAAAGTGATATGGTTGAGGTTGCGATGTCTCAGTACCTTTGGCTTTTTTTAATTTTGTCACCACTTTTATATTGTTAAAGGCATTTGTCTTTTGGAGATCTATTATATGGAGGGATATAATTATATGTCATTCCCAATTTGTGGGGCACTTTTTCTAGGTGACTTAATTATTTTGTATATCTTATTTTGGATATAGCAAGTACAGAAAATCTGCTTGTGCTTTCTTAGCATTTTCATTTGTACATTTTTCGAAGATACCACTGTCATTATTTTTGAAGATTTGTTAAAATACTTACCTTCCCCCTAACAATTGATGATGGAAATATTGTGTTTTGAGAATGATTAACAGTGTGTTTGATATTAAACACATTTTTAAATTCACCAAATAAATGTGTTTTTTTTTTCTAAAGGAAGTTGAGCCTCAGAGTGGAGTAAATTTTTAATTGTATAATTCTCCATGCATTTCATATAGTTGGTGCTTAGTAAATTATATAATATAGTACTACCTTAACCAGCATAAACCATATTTTAAAAGCATTTTAAATAACTGTAAATAAAACATTTTTGTGTGTCTATAGCCTATGATTCAAATTGGATTTACTACCATTTATAAATGACATGTAAAATGACATGTAAAAAGTCTTTTAGCCAACTCATGGGTTGGGAGGCAACAAGAAGAATTTGGTGTCTATTGATTCTTGTTAAAGCATAGAATATAAAATTAACTACAAACCTGCTAAGTTTGTTAATACAAAGGGTTAGACCATTTTGGAGAAGGAATTTCTTTAGATGAAGACCTTTATCTATTTTCAGAAGTTAACTCATTATTAATAATACCTTGTTTGTAGGTGCCTCAGCAGTTTACACATTACCTTCGTGTGCATTGTCTTATTTGACCTTCACAACAACCCTATAAAATAGATAGTTCAGATCTTATCTCCATTATCATAACTGAAGAAACTAAGTCTCAGTGAGTTTGAATGATTTGCCCATGATAATGCAGATAATAAATGATGGAACTGGGATTCAAACCCATGTCTTCTTACTGCCAAGTTCAACGGTCTTGGTACTATGGCATGGTGATAGATGTATTAATCAGAAAGATCTACATGTTGGCTATAATAAAATAGGCAATGAACTAGCTTGGTGATAGCAGTCCATTTGCTTTCATGAAAAGAAAAAATAGTCTTTAATTTATTTTCCATTAGCTATTAAGATTATGTTGTACTGACAAAACTCTAATTTCATATAAAAGGTAATAAAATAAATTTATATAATGATGAATCTATCCAGAAGCAAGTGATACCCTCTGCTTCCTACATAGCACTAAAGTCTAATTGTTCAACTCATACTCTTCTCTCTGTCTTCTTAGGCTACACAAATAAGAATTATTTCCAGGTAATTGATTCCAGTTAAATTTTCCTCTGGATTTTGTAAACATGGGGTTTCTTTAAGACCTTTGAAATGTGGCTATCATGTTAGAATCCCAGTTTCCATTTTCTAAATCCCAAAATAAAATGGCAACTAAGATTGTACCTTACACAACTGGTGGAGATTCATAGTCATCTGGTCTGTAGGCTGAAAATTCAGCCTTCGTTGAAATTTTCATATGGTACTTGGAAGAACTTTCCTGTAGCTTTCAAAACTCTCCTGCTTGTTAGTACTTCTTTCTTTCTGTCCTGTTTTTTCTCTGCGTTTTAGAAAAAATGACTCTTTTCTTTTTTTGCTGCCCTATCTTTATTCCCCCTTGGACTCCCATTACTACATTGGAAAAAGGAAAAAGAAAAATCAAGTACTTGTAACAAATACGCTTAGCCAAACAAACATATTCCCAAACTGGTTGTATCTGAAAATGTATGCCCTATTCTCCATTTTGAGTCCATCACTTCTCATTGAGAGTCATGGCTAGTATGTTTTAGTGTTAGTTCTCTACAGTTATGATGTTTAAAAGGTTTAAGAAATGTTATTTCTGGTAATTAATAATTTTATTAATATTGCTAGCATTTTAATAAAACAGGTACTCTCAAATGCCAAAGACAATCACGGTGTGTTCAAAGCTTATATGTGCTTGGAAAAGTGGGTGTTTCAGAGGGTGGCAATCAACTCTGATTGGTTAACAACAAGTAGTGAGAGAATGAATATTACAATGAGGGCTGGACATATTCTAATGAACTTTGATTATGTCATTTACTTCTAAATTGCCCTCCAGCCATGAGCAATCTAATCAAAGAATTTATCCCCATCCAAACCTGAGTGGAGCACCATGGGCTTCCCACCTTAGATTAAATTTCTTGTAAGGTTTGGTGGGGTCTGACCACAACTGAGGAGAAAGTTAGTTAAATTTACATAGAATGAGCTTTGAAATGAGAACTTTAGAAAAAGAAGGAACTTTGGATCTCCTCAAATCATTGATTATTAATAGTCATTTCTCACATGTTGTAGTTACTACCTGTTGTTTTTATGACTTGCCCAGGATTAAACAAAACAAGGATTTAGCTTATGATTATTTGATGGAAAATTCCTAATTATTTGGGACAAAAGTCCTCCAAATCCCAAGAGTCTCACTTAATTATATTTTTATCACCTTGACTGGATGAGAACAGTCCCTAAATAATGAATTGCATTACCTGTAATGTCATAATGATACAGGAAGGCTACACTAGTTTGAGGGTCACAAACTAATTAGCATCTTGGGTATCAAATTTGATAGCAAACAAGCAAATTATGCTGAGACGTTTTCAATTCTCAATGGGCAAATGGAGCTTGTGTGATAGTAGACTTATTTGTTGTCTGGAGAAAGCTCATTAAGCAAACTGGCTTAATTTTATTAGTCATTTGTAATCAGTAGGATCTGTAGAAGTTGAATGTGCATTTTAAGTTGTCAATCTTGAGAAGCAGAAAGGAAAAATGTCTTATAGATCTTCCCTGATAGCTCGGCAGGGCAAAAAGTGAATTACACATGAGGCATATTGTCCTTGTTTAGTATGATGAGAGTCAGTAAAGAGCTTAGGGAGACAGATTAAAACAACAAAGAAAATCGTCTCTGCCATCTGCTAACTACTGGAGTTTTCCCTCCTGTTGCAACACCTAGCTTATTCCCGGAAAGAAGTGAATATCTTTTTGTATGGAAAAGAAAATTGAGTGGGAAACATTTTGCCTTAGGCTAATTTATACTGCTTTTGCAGTAGGTATCTACTCTTGACCAAAATTTAATTTTTAATATCAGGTTTTTTTTTCTATAAAGGCATAGTTTCAGAAGATTTCAAGACACAGTTTTTGCTTAAGTATTTAACCTCCAAGGTCCTTTGGGTTTTTAGCCACAACAAATATGTTCTCTTTTTCTTGGAAAACTTCTTTGAGTATTTTGATATTTATCTTGATAGAAGGAAACCTTCAAACTTTAACAGGTAATGCCATTTTTTTTCTGTGATTATGAGATAATTTAAAAAAAATAATTCTTTCATCTAAGTAACTGCTAACTGAAAAAAAATACAGCAAATGATAAGTATATACAGTGGATGTGTTCATCTTTGCTCTTTGGTCTATTTCAGCTATCTTGAATGTCAACAAAGGCCTTTCTTTTTGCTTTTCTTTAATAATTCCTTAGTCATATTCATAGCGAATTCACATATTTTAACTTGTATTTTATGTTATTTGTGCTGACGATTCAGGCCTGATATTTTAGTTCAGATATCGATAGTTTTCAGGCCTAAAAAGACCTGGAAAAGAACATCCTGGTCAGTCTAATGGGGAAAATTTTTTTATTTTGTAATATATCCAAATATGACTGCTTTCTATTATCTATCATTAATTCAGGGCAGGTGAAAGCTGAGCAGATTAAGAATATTTAGTTATGAATGTAGAACACATAGGGATGGCATGCTTTGGTTTTTCTGCTTTAAGGCTCTATTATTGTATGAATGTCAATCCCACTGAAAAAAAGGAACCCAGGGAAGAAGTTCTGCTCTTCCCCAGTGGCCATTAAGCTCTGCGTAGCTATCAACTCATCTGAAGCCCAAAACGGAATAGTATAAAATGTTTGAGCCACACATTGCATAATAACTTTGATCTCCTATTAATACATTGAGTAATAAATGTAATTTTTAAAAACCCTGCTTTCTCTTCTCTCTCATTTTGACATTTGATGTCTACTTCATCTAAGTAACTCTTAATAGTTTTGAAATAAGTTCACCAGGGAGTAGAAATAAGTGGAGAAATAATAAAATATTTATTTCCATAGTTTCTTCCTCCCCCTGCCCATTTGTGTATGTCATCTTATGCTTGATTACTAAATGAAAAATTATATGGCTTAAATACTATTGGCTACAAAACACTTTCTTGTGTGGTTTTTCATTCTGGGTAACAGATTGTTTTTGATCTTTCATCCAAAAGATTTGCATATGGTTTTATTTCATAGCACAAACCTATTTGCCTTCAGAGAAGATCCAAGAACCCAAGATTTTGGTTTCACCATACAGGACAAGTTTACAGCCCTCAGTCCCTCTGTCTGCAGAAGAGAAGCCTCTTGACTACAGAAAAAACAAACGGCAGCTATTATTCCGCCAGAAGCGAGCCACTTTATTTCCTAATGGGGTTAAAATCTGCCCAGATGAAACTATTGCACAGATTGTGGCAAACCATTTGAAATATTTTAAAGTCCGAGGTAAGTATTCACACGTCCAAGCTCCCAGCACCCGCACTGCAGATTCCATGTTGAAGAATGGAAAGGCTCTCTATGTTTTGTTGTTCAGTTGTTTCAGTTCTGTCTGAATCATCATTGCTACATTTGGGTTGTTTTTGGCGAAGATACTGGAGTGCTTTGCCATTTCTTTTCCAGCACATTTTACAGAGGAGGAAACTGAGGCAAACAGGATTAAGTGACTTGCCCAGGGTCATACAGCTAGTAAGTGTCTGAGGCCAGATTTGAATTCAGGAAAATGTCTTAGTGAAGCTTTTGGGCCAGATGATCTCTAAGGTCACTTTCTAGCTATTTAATATAATAAATTCTCTAAAGATATTTACTAGGCAGGATTTCATTGCTAGTGATTTTGTCAAGGCAGGATGCTTTTTCTATTAATGTTTTCTTAAGTCCCGTTTCCACTTTGTTAGTTTTAGTTATTGTATAAACCTAAAAGTAATACAATTTTATTTATTTTTTAAAGTATTCTATAATTCAGACTGGTTTCCTTCCATTTGGTATACTTTAATGAGATATTACTGTATGCTTTTGAATTAATAGATTTACTCAGAAGCATTTGACCTTAATAGAAACATGCTCTTTATATTGAAAACAAACAGAAACCTATGTCAGAAGTCCCAACATCCTTTTATGTTCTCTAACTAACTGCACCACGACCTGGTAGGCAAAGTGCTAGAACTGGAGTCAGGAAGACAAGTTCAAATACGCCTCTGACAAGTACTCCTAATAGCTGGCATTTCTATAACACTAGGAGGCTTACGAATTGCTTTACATACGTTATCTCGTTTGATCCTGTGGTACAGTGGAAAGAACACAGTCTCTGAAGTCAGAGGATCTGGGCTCAAATCCCAGCTTTGTCATGTTATACCTGCCTAACCTTGAGAAATTGACTTAAATTTTCTGGGTCTCAATTTCCTCATCTGTAAAATGAAAGAGTTAGGTTAAATAACCTCTGAGGTCCCTTCTAGCCCTAAATCTTTGAATAACGAGTGTCCTGTGATCCTTTTCTCTGTATCCACAGCATTCCATGATAAATGGGTTTTGTGGTTCAGTCATTTTTCAGTTGTGTCCGAGTCTTTGTGGCTCCATTTGGGGTTTTTTTTGAGATACTGGAGTGATTTACCATTTCCTTCTCCAGCTGCCTTTACAAATGAGGAAACTGAGGTAAATGGGGTTAAGTGACTTGCCCAGGGTCACACAGCTTGTGAGTGACTGAGGCCAGATTCGAATTTAGGAAGATGAGTATTCCTAACTCCAGAGCCTGAACTCTATCCCCTGTGCCACCTAACTGCCCTAGATTTTAAATGTTTAATTGGTTATAAATGTAAGCTTAATTGACCCTGTTGTTTAAATTGACTTGCCTCTAGTACTTAAAAAATAAACAAACTCGTAGTGTAAGTAGCAGTGATGAGGTCAAAGTCTCAAGGTCTATCTCTGTTATGGACCACTTAGTGCTATGCTATTCTATGGGTTGACCAAGCCACTGATCCAGACCAGCTGTATTCTAGATGTTATATGGTTACCTGGAGAAAGTGTGATCTGCAATTTTAGACAGGGAATCAAATAATCTTTTGGTCATGCTTAGTTCTTCCACTTGTGGATATATGTGTGAATTTCTGGGTATTCTTTAAACAAGTTAATATGTTGTAGGCTATGCTTTATCGGCTAGAGTTGTTTGTCAGCGAAGGGCCCTCTATCAAGAGATGAGATGTGGTTGTGTTGTGATGGACTGGGATCATAGAAAGTGCTGACGAAGCCAGGTCTCTATTAAAATTATTCTAGCCTTTTTTTTTTAACCATCAAAATTACATGTAATATTACTATTAAAATACATGTATAATACAATTTTATATTAAACAAAATATATTTTTCATGGTACATAGAGTCACAAACCTTAAGTTAGAAGGGACTTCAGTAGGGGCAGCTAGGTGGCGCAGTGGATAGAGCACTGGCCCTGGAGTCAGGAGGACCTGAGTTCAAATCCGGCCTCAGACCAAACACTTGACACTTACTAGCTGTGTGACCCTGGGCAAGTCACTTAATCCCAACTGCCTAAAATTAAAAAAAAGAAAAAATAAGAAGGGACTTCAGTAATCAGCTAGGCCAACTCTCTTACAACAAAAGGATCCCCCACTCTAATATAATGGTATCTAAGTAGCATAATAGATATATTACTGGCCTTGGAATCAGGAAGACCCAAGTTCAAATTCAGCCCCAGACAATGACTCACTGTGTGACCCTGGGTAAGTCACAACCTCTGACTGCCTTAACCTTTTCAACTGTAAAATGAGAATTATAACACCTGTTGCCTCACAGAGTATGTGTAAGGGTCAAATTTGAAAAGTGCTTAGCACAGTGCTTGGCACACAGTAGGTGCTTAATAAATGTTGGTTCCCTTGTCTATAATATATGATGAAAGTCATCATCTAGTCTCTTCTTGAAGGCATCCAAAGTGGGGAAAGTCGTGTGGGGAAGTCAAGGCAGCTCATTTCACTTTTGAACAGCTCTGCTTATAGAGAATTTTCCCTTACATCTACCCTAAATTAACCGCTTTCACCTTCTAACCATTGTTCCTAACCTTTGGAATGTTAGTTTTGTAGCCATGCTATTGCTTCTGCAATAGAGTTTAAAGATTTCTGATACTTTTAGCATAAGTATTTTGGAAACTGAGTAAAATGAATGTTACCTTATCCCAGGAACCAGATGTTTGGAACTTGGCAAGATGCCAGAAGCCAAAACACCAGGCAGACTGCTCTCTATACTGCTGTTGATCCTCAAGCATATTGACAGAAAGAGGAGAGAACTCCAAGTGTGTAGTTGCAAACTGAACAAGAGAGACCTTAGCCACAGTAAATATTAGGGGGTCCTTATATTTCCAAGGAAATCTATCTTCTTTTAAAGGCATCTGATTCAATCATGTAGTTTTGAAAGAAGGAAAGAAACAAGCATTTATTAAGCTCCTACTAAATAGCTAGGCACTGTGTTGAGCACTTTAAAAATATCTTATTTAATCCTCATAACAACTCTGGAAGGTACTATTATTATCCCCATTTTATAGTTGACTTGCCTATGTTCACACAGTTAGTAAAGTACTGCTTTATTTTTATTATGATGATTGATAATAATTAGTAATAATGCCTAATATTAAGTAATAATGTAGTATTATTAAGAATTATTAATAATCATAATCAGAACTTTTATATAGCATTCACTATGTGCCAGGCACTGTGCTTAATGCTTTAAAATTATTATCTCATTTGATTATCACAACAACCCTGGGAGGTAGATGTTATTGTTTCCATTTTAGAGTTGAGGAAACTGAGGCAGAGGTTAAGTGACTTCCCATGGTTACAGAGCTAATAAAAATCTGCTTTATTATTAGTTTTCTTTCAAACATAGTTGTCACGCAGAATTCTTGTTTGTTATGGGTAGTTTTTTGAAAACGTTCCCACTCCAAATGCATGTTAACATCAGAATTTTCGAAATAACTAAATGCTCAAAGAGTTTTAATTATATATGCTTAATGGTCTCCGTGATTACTGCCCTGATTTTTATTATTTGTTGCATTTGGGGTTTGGACTTCAGTCTCCATTAAAAATTATAATCATGTTGTTAGGTAGTCTACTATAAGTTACCCTGATTTGTGAGGATGCACACTTAACTTTAGCTGATTATAGGTTACTACAAAGTTATGAAAGAGAAATTTAGACACTCTGATGTCCTCAAATAGATCTTACATGACACTGGACTTCTGGTTACAGGACATGATACATAGTCTAAGCTGCAATAATGAGATTAGATCTAGATTAAACCTCAGCTTTTCCTACTTCAGCAGATGACTAGAAAGCCTTCCCTTCCCCCATCAGTTTCCAGCACTAGTCTTATGTTATTAGCTTCACTATTCCCAAAAGATAGGCTTTTTAATAGATGTATTATTTTTCTAAGAAGAAACCCCGCCCCCCGGAGAGTAAAGCTTCATGCGGATTGCTCCACAAACACAAATATATAATTCACAAGGGTGGAATCTATATTAATTTTGTAGGAATCAGCAAAATGGCCAGTCCTAGTGAAGTATAGACATTTGCCTTAAGTGCCCCATTCTAGTACACATCTCCTTCAATTACGGACAGATACCTTTTCTGTCCATCTCTTATGTATCCACTGTTGTGCTGATCTCTAGCATCTGGGACCCTCTTCTGGTGTTCCACCAGAACTCCATTCCTTGTGCTCCAAATGATTACATTTGGATAATTGTAATTATTACAAATCTTCCCTTCTACCTCACCCTATGAAAAATTGCAGGAATGTTCCATTCCTTAAAGGTCTTACTATCAGCCAACTGCCATGTGGAAAGTGAGGTTGATAAATCCATTGAAGATAATGTGATAACAACAACAACAACAACAATACTAGCTAGTATTTATATAGTGCTTTAAGGTTTGCAAAGCATTTTATAGATGTGATCTCATTTCATCGTCACAACTCTGGGAGATAGAAACTTATTATTCTCAGGTTACAGATGAGGACACTGTAGCAAATAGAGGCTAATCAACTTGCCTAGTGTTACATGGCTTGTTGTCATGACCTTAATTGGGACTTTCTTGGCAAAGACACTGGAAAGGTTTGCCATTTCCTTCTCCAGCTCATTTTACAGATAAGGAAACTGAGGCAAACCAATTTGATTTTGGTTTTTGAGGTAGAAAGCAGAAAAAAGAGGTGTGAGTTATTCTATAACTTAACACTAGCCTTTTCTTTTTCCCTAATTGATCCTGCTGTATTCTGACCTTTCCTTTACTATTCATGTGAAATGGAAACACAAAAAATATTTGTATCAGCTCTTAGTCTACCTTCCTGTAATAATGATGGTTATGTATATATGTGTACGTGTGTGTTTATGCACATTCATATGTGTGCATAGTTATGTAGACCAAAGTAGGTAGGTTCCAGGATGAATCTTGTTTGCTAGCTGTTGGTATATTTAGTTTCAATCAGATGGCTTTCATTATTTTTCCACTTCTAGTGAGTGATCCCCAAAGACTCTTGTTTGTATTCTCTGCATTCTTTGAAAATGACCTCTTTACACCCCCTAGCAAGCTGTAAAACCCTGAGGTTGGACTATATTATCTCTGAGACCTCATCCAAAGCTAGCATTTTATGATTCTACATGGGTCTTCAAATTCTACTTAATATATTTTTGATCTCTCTCACAATCTATTGAAGTTTGACTGAGTGCTAGTTATGGAATGCCAAGAGTGTACAATAATGCACTGATCAGGCAGAAGATTGTACCTTCCTGCTTTCCTTTTTAGGTTTTGACCTTGTAAAAACCTAGCAGTTTTAAAGAAAATAAAATGCTTTTGATTTATACGCAGGAATGCTTTCCCTTTTAAGACCCAAATGCTACTTTTTTATACATTAAAAGCAATCCAATTCTGGCCTACCCCACCTTGACTTTTTCTTGATTAAGTCTATTGGGATTCCAGCGGAGAGTGTTCAGTCTCTCAGATCTTATAAAATAATTGTAGCTTTCCTGAGGAAAGTTTTGAATGGGTTTCTTTAATCATGAGGTATAAACTACAGATTTGTGGAGGAGCTTCTGTAGTATCATTGTGCCAAAATGTTACAAATAGAAAGAATTGATATTTTAACTCTTTTCTGTCAAAAAAAATATAAGAAATTCACAAGCATGGCTATCTTCCTGCAAACATTGCTACTCATACTAATAGGTAAAGTTAACTTATACTAAGAGGTGAAGTTAAGCAACTTGTTCCATGAAGAGCCCTGTGAACAGTAAGTTTTTATTAGGATGTTTTCAGTACACTGGGTAAATGTAGCATTTTTCAAGACTTTCTTACCTTTAAAAAATGTAGAAAAAAATGTTTATATTTTGAGAAATGAAAGAAAAAATCCTGCTCATTAGGCTACAGTCAATCCATTTTAGGATGTTAGAGAATGATGAGTATAAGCTTAATGCAAAATTCTTTCCTGAACTAAAAGGTCTTTAGTGAATAAAATGAAGGTCATTCAGCCAGGTAACAAGTCAACAAGCATGTATTTAGCACTTATGATGTACTGGGAACAGTGCTAAGGGTTGAGGATACAAAGAAAGGCAGAAACAAAACAAAACACCCTTGCCTCCTCCCTGTTCTCAAGGTGATCACATCCTAAGGCAAGGGGTGGGGTTGAGGAGTGGGGTAAAGGAGGAGGTGGAGATAAAATATAAACATCAAAGTTTATACAAAATATATACTATATATATATATATATACACACACACATATGCATAAAGGTAATTTGAGAAAGTAGAGGTCGTAGGTGGACAATTCTACTTAACATTACTGCACTCTAAGGAATTGTCTCTCAAGGTGAAAACAAGGCAATTGGCCTGTGACAGTTTTGTGATGCCTTGAATCTTCAGCTTGTCATAATATTCACTTTGTCCATTTTCCAGTGTGTCAGGAAGCTGTCTGGGAAGTCTTCAAGACCTTTTGGGATCGGCTACCACGTCACGAGGAGTATCGACACTGGATGAATCTCTGTGAGGATGGAACTATAAGTATATTTGAAATGGGCACAAACTTTAGTCAGTCTGAAGAACACCAGAGCCTAATCATAAAGGTGGGTCCTGAAGAGAGGTGGAAATTTCTGAACTACTTTGGAAGCATTCATATGCAGCCAGCAAGTTCTTGTAGTTTTGCTTTTTTAAATTATCAATTCTAAAAGCCAAATGTGAATTTAGCTAGGCAGTTAGACAGCTCAGTGGATACTACCTCACTCTAAAAGAATAATTTGAATTTTTTTTCAGGCTGCTACTCTTTCCTCAATATTTAATTCTATAAATATGTGTCAGATATTTACTACATAAAAGCTACTGTGTTAGTGAGACTTCGGGCATTCTCTCCCTAAACAGAGCTTTTCTCAAGGCCATATGCTCCTTTTTCATATATATCAAGAGTCTTGTGAACATAGGAGTCTTTTTAGCTTTGGCACCAGTGTACTGAACATTTCACACTGACAGATCCTTCAGTGAAAACAGAAAAATAAATTTATGAGAAATGCAGAAGGAAAAAGACCTCACTGGGGAAACCTTAGCTCATAAACAAATATGCAATATGTAAGTCATTGCATAGTGTAAATATGCAAATAGCAAATCATTGTTAATCAACATGGGAATTAGCTCAGTCAGATAACCATTTCTGCCCTAAGAAACTTGGGTTTGACAATTTCTAGCAGTAATTCTCACACACCACAGAGCTGACAAAGCTATCATTGTAGATCAATAGTTAAAGTTGATAAGAGAGAGAAAGCAAGCCCATTCAGAGATATAATATTAGGGGCAGAAGTACAGAAGTATGCCCCTGGAAAGCATGGGCAGAGTAGTGAAGATATCTTTCCCAGGTTCCCAATGAACTTTTCTTGTTGGGGCACATTGAAGCTGCTAATGAACACAGAAGCTGTCTCCGAGCTTCTTAGCCCTCAGAGAAGCAAAGATTACATTGCCTTTTCCAACATCAAGTTAGATAGCATGAGGTCTTCTGAATCCACTTTGAAAGCTTCAGTGCAGAGACAGGCACACAATCAAACATTTTTTTTCATTTTTTACTGTTTCTGTGATTTCAGAAAGTAGTATAAGACTCAACAAACTATCCACATAAGTTATTCAGCTGGTTAACTATTCCCTTTTCAACAGGGTTACTACACCACCAACTCTCCCAGTCATTGTTTCTTATATACACTCCCTGGACTAAGCCTAAATTACTTTCTACCCATTCTATCTAAGCCACCTCAATCTCTCTCTATAATATTCCTCTCAAACCAAATGTTCTTATCCCAAGTGCTGACTTAGTCCCCATGCCTTTCAACACATCTAACAAGCAACAGTGGTGCAGTGGATAGAATGCTAGGCCTGCAGTCAAGAAGACTAATCTTCTTAAGTTAAAATCCAGATGCAGACACTTACTGTCTGTGTGACCCTGGGCAAGTCACTTAACCATGTTGGCCTCAGTTTCCTCATCTGTAAAATGAGCTGGAGAATAAAGTGCAAACCACTCCAATATATTTGCCAAGAAAACCCCATATGGGGTCATGTAGAGTTGGACACAACTGAAATGACTGAACAACAACAAAAATAAATGTTCGACAGTGACCCTGAGACTATTTCCTGACCCCTTCAAAATAGCTCCCAGGGAATTGTGGGCCATTGAGTGTTCTTGTAGCCTTATATATGCACAGCTATTCGTCCTTTACCTTTGTCTCTCATCATCCTTAATGTTTGACCCACACACTCAGTAGGGTGTAAGGTTTATTCTTTGTATCTTTTGAAGTCTTGGTTGAGGTATACAAGTTTCCAGTTCTTTTTTCCATCTTCATCTCCACATTTGTTGCATACATGACGTGCTGCATAATCATCGTAACATAATCCAAGCCAAATATTAATGTCTCATAAACAGTAAAATGGGAAACAATAACAGTATTGGATGCACCTCTATAGAATGAATAAAAGAGCGAGAATACAGGGGCAGCTAGGAGGTACAGTGGATAGAGCACCGGCCCTAAAGTCAGGAGGACCTGAGTTCAAATGTGGCCTCAGACCAAATGCTTGACACTTACTAGCTATGTGACCTTGGGCAAGTCACTTAACCCCAATTGCCTAAAAAAAAAAAAATAAATAAAAAGAGGGAGAATGCATTTAAACTTTTAAATAAGTGGAATCTAATCACTCATATCCATGAGTCCATGTCATATAAGGTCACTCTGATTTCAGGTTTTTTAAAGAAAGAAATGTTTAAGTTCATCATAATTCACATTTTCTTTCACAGAACTGATTCTAAAATGAAATAGGCTTGCAGGACGACTCTGCTCCCATGTCCTCATACTGGGGCACACAGGATTACTAAATTACCACAAAGTTAAAATTAAGAGAAAAAAAAAATTCCAGTGTTCGCTACTATTTGATTCTTTTTAAATAGCACAATAGATAACTGACAATTAGCAACTTCAGATCAAATGTAGTGTTGATACTAACAATTCCCTTTGTACACCCATTACCATTCTGACTTTAAATCTGTTAATCAGTTGATAAACATTTATTAAGTGCTTATTCTGTACCAGGACTGTGCTAAGTTCTGGGGATACAAAGAAAGACAAAAGATGATGTCTGCCCTTAAAGAGCACACAATCTAATCTATCTTAAAATATATCCCATGTGAAAAGACAATACTTTCTGGTATTTTAAACAAGAAACATTTCAAGTATGATCTAAATATTTAGATTGGGTTCCTTGAGGGCAGGGAATGTCTTTTGTTGTATTCTTAGCAGTTAACACTGTGCCTGGCACACAAGAAGCACTTAATAAATGTTTATTGACCAACTAATGTTTTCTTTGCTGTCAACAAAATGTCCTTGATTTGAGGTTTGCAGTTTTCTTTTACAATGAGAATAGGTAAAGATGTCTAGGGTCTTTGAGTTGTAGAGTAGGGAAGAAGGAAGAGCACATGGTGGATGGCCTTAGGTTTCTTAATGTAATAAGAAGGGAGATCATCTATTGAGAAATGAGGTGGGCTGGGGGAAGCCTAAGAAACTTCAGGAGTGAAGATTTGGAATAGTCACTGAAAGAAGTATGTTAGCTAAGGAAAAATAAAATGATTACCATGTAATAGTAAGGGCCCAGTTAAGGTTAGACAAGACCTAGTTACCAAGGTTCATGACTTCCTTCAGAGGCAGCTGGGGAGTAGGACAAAGAAAGCAGATAGTAGAGATGATGTAGAATTGAGGAATGGCAGTGGGTTAACTGTGGTGGGACAGGGAAACAAGGGATTTACAGCTGGAGGACAGTATATAATTGAATTGGTTAATAATAGAGTCAAGATTATAAAGGAAAGAGAGTGAGTCCAGAGTAGGGATGATAAATTTGGAGAACAGAGAGGAATGGAGGAACTGGAGGTTATGGTAAGGATAAAGAATAGGTTTAGGAGGAATAAGGAAGAGCTAGAAGGAGAGATGGAGGTAATTATGATCAGAAATGGGAATATCAAAAATAACAATCATGGAAGGGAGGTACTATGGGTGGTTTTGAAAGGAAGTGAAAATGTAGGTCATGTTAGTTTAAAGAGTTGGTCAACTCAAGCCAGGTTGCTTGAGGAAATATCAATATTAATATGTAAGGCTATAAGAGACTGACTGTAAGAGAAAAGAGAGAACATCTTAGAGACTGGTATTCTGTGGCAACAAACACAGGCAGGGATAAAGATGTATGGAGCACAATCAGGATAACACAGCAGCTTCTACATTAAGGGACCAGAGGACTTAGAATGTAATATTCCAGAGATCAAAGGAAATAGGATTACAGCCAAGAATCACCTACCCAGCAAAACTGAGTATAATCCTTCAGGGGAAAAAATGGACATTCAGTGAAATAGGGGACTTTCAAGCATTCTTGATGAAAAGACCAGAGCTGAATAGAAAATTCGACTTTCAAATACAAAACTCAAGAGAAGCATGAAGAGATAAACAAGAAAGAAATCATAAGGGACTTATTAAGGTTGAACTGTTTACATTCCTGCATGGAAAGATGATATTTGTAACCTATGAAACCTTTGTCAATATTAGGATAGTTGGAGGGAAAAAAATTATATGTATGCATGTATGTATACATATATATATATATACATATATATATATAGAGAGAGAGAGAGAGAGAGAGAGGACACAGGGTGAGTTGAAGATGAAGGTGTGATATCTAGAGAATAAAATTAAGGGGTGATAGAGGATTATACGGGGAGAAGGAGAAAGGCAGAGGTAGAATGGGGTAAATTATCTCATACAAAACAGACAAGAAAAGGCTTTTACAGTGGAGGGGAAACAAGGGAAGCTGAGAGGGAATGAGTGAATCTTATTCTCATTGGATTTGGCTTAAGGAGGGAATAACATATACACTCAATTGGATATGCAAAGCTACAGGAAAATAGGGAAGAAGGGAATAAGAGAGCAGGGGGATGATAGAGGGGAGGGGGTACTCAGAAGCAAACACTTCTGAGGAGGGACAGGGTCAAAAGAATAAAATAAATGGGGGGTGGGATAGGATGAAGGGAAATATAGTTAGTTTTTCACAACATGACTACTATGGAAGTGTTTTGCATGACTACACATGTATAACCTGTATCGAGTTGCTTGCCTTCTCAATGAGGGTAGGTGGGGAGGGAGGAAGGGAGAAAATTTGGAACCCAAAGTTTTAAAAACAAATATTAAAAATTGTTTTCACATGCAACTGGGAAATAAGATATACAGGCAATGAGGTATAGAAATCTATCCTGCCCTATAAGAAAATAGAAGGGAAAGAGGATAAGAGAAGGGGGGGAGATAGAAGGGAGGGCAGATTAGGGGAAGGGGTATTCAGAATGCATGTCATCTTGGGGGGATGGGTGAGATGGGGAGAAAATTTGAAACTCAAAATCTTGTGGAAGTGAATGTTGAAAACTAAAACTAAATAAATCAATAAAACTAAAAAAAAAAGACGTGTGGAGTTGACACGTCAGACACTTGACCAGCAGCCCCCATTGTGGCCAGCAACACCCGATAGTGCTGTGGGTGGCCTATTGACTAAGTGTTTGACATCTCTG